TTTGCAGTGGAACTTTTCGTTTTTCTGTCCTTGGGATTGGGGCTGTGTTGGGATCTTCCTCCTTGGAGTGTGTTCTCTTTGACCACCTTAGCAGCACTAAGTGGATGTGACCAGAAGTGGCGAGAGCATGTCTAGAGAAGCCCTATGTAGAGAGCTGCAGTGTGAGACAAGCTGTGTACAGCGTAGGTTTGCTTGAGAGTGTTTTGAGTTGCTTTCTTGTGCTTTGAGTGTGTTTTTGACGACTGTGACCAGTCAGACCTCTTCAGAAGAAGAGTGGATGAACAGAGATACAGTCAAACCGACTGTAACGTTTGGCTCAAGAGCGGGATTCAAAAAGGGGACGCTACGTGTTTTCACAAATTTTGGTTTTGCCCCATTTCACGGTGGATTCAGAGCATTGCACGCTTCACCGTCTGCAAACTCTTGAAAGCTTGTTGACTGCGCCCTTCCCTCCTGTGCTCACCTCTGTGTGACTCCCCCTCAAAATGCTTTTGCCGCAACATGGGGCTGTTCATTGACAACATGGAAAGAGTCACTCCTTGCAGGCAACACTGCTGGTTTTCCAATTGCTTGGAGCAATGGGACTCTCCGCAGTTGTTTTCCGTTGCACGCCTGTCCACTCTCACACATGCTCACGGTGACTGAATAGCGTGGGTCATGCAAGCCTCTCGCCAGCCTAAACAAACAAGTAAAATGGTGTGCGCAACTCCACAGCCTCAACTAAGGCCAGGTGCCAAGCGCGATGTCAAAAGCGCTGAGGCACCACAGCACTTTGCAATGCCCCATGGTTTTTGCACGAGTGGAGACGCCATGTGTGCGGTGTGCGCAGGTCATCTTTTGCTGAGGTTTGAAACTCCGCGTGCCTGATTGGTTGCCCCATGTTTCACCCCTTCTCTTTCCCACTTGAGTTGCGAGCCAGGCTGCCCTCTTTTCTGGGTTTTTTGTTTGTTTGGAGGTTTGGTTGTTTTCTGCTCGGTTTCTCTGGTTCTTTCTTTCTGGCCATCATGCGCAGCACAAGATGACCTGCGCAATCTCTGCACACATGGCGCTCGACCCGTGCAAACAAAACTCGAAAATGGGGATTGGCTGGCGTGGTCACACAGGTCGGGAGTGCAGACCCAGTGCCACGCGCTACAAGAGACAAGGCAGCCCAACTTTGCAAGCGTCTTCAGCGCGAGATGACCTGTGCATTCTCTGCACACATGGCGTCTCCACCCGTGCAAGAAAAAATGGGATTGGCCAGCGCACAATTGCGCGGCGCTGCAGGCAACTGCCCCAGCATGCAAATGGAAAAATGGATGGATGGTTGGTTGGTTGGTGGGTTGGCTCTCGTTCCTTGACGGAACTTTGTGTTTCGAATTGTTTTGGGTGCTTTGGAGAGCAAAGCTCAGAATGTTCAACGTTTAGAAGCTTTGTGCAGAAGTCTTTGTGGCTTTTGCAGTGTGAATGTTTCTTTGAACAGTTTTGATGATCTCGACTTCAACTCAGTGAATCAAGACTCCACACCACCAAAGTTGGCGAAGATGATAAAAATGCAGGTGTCCCTCTTGGGACACGATCGGATGTCCAGTCAGCTTCTGTGACACTCTCACAAACCTTCATGTCAATCTTGTTGATGGTTGGTTGCAGGCAAAATTGTCTGCTCGGATTTTGCAAGAAAGACATCTTTGTTTCTCTTCATGGATTGGAGAACCGTTTTTGCGTTCTTTCTGCAGACAGCTCTTGCGCTGATTGATCCACTCACTTTGGGCAGCAGGTTTTTCAGGTTGCGGAGCTCGGAGAATGAACGCCTGCGGCAGGGATAGAACTTGAACTGAACCAGGGGTTGAGATGGAAGAGAATCTTCTCTCATCTTTCGTCGTTCCTTCTTCAATGCTGATGTGACCATGTTCACAGGAGATGGATGGAGCATGTCTGACAGAATGTTGATCATTCTACTGAAGGCTACTACTATAGCTCACTGCTTTTGTGGATGTTGAAGAGCTTGTGATGCTGACGATGCAATGTCTGAGAGAAAAACTTGAACATTTACGGCAACGCAGTGTCGTTAGGGGCCGCCTGGAAAGTCCATAGTTTTCCAGACAAATTGGGTTTCGCGTCTGCGACATTGCCTGTCAGGCACCTTCTTGAACGTTTGTCGCTCAAGGGTCCCAGTGATGACCAAATATTCAAAGAAGTCAATGTGTGTGACTTTAAGAGATATCTGAGGGATCCTTGGTTCATTCCTTGTCGGTTTGATTTTGGCGTGCGTGTTGACTGAGTGGTTGCGTGCGTGCATGGTTGTTGAACTTGGCGTGCTTTGTTGAATTTGCTGTTGAAGACCTGTGGACGTCAAGGCTGAAAGCTTGATGAGCTGAGTTTTCAAAAAATGAGAAGAAGAAGAAGAATACAGAAGAATGGAATGAATAGAAAGAGGATTGAGTAGCTAGCATGTAGTGACCCAAGAAGGGGTGTGAAAAGGAGTGAGCAGTATGGCTCGCTACATGTAGCTCTGTATTGGGATTTTGAGTTTGATTTTTCCATAGGAGTGGTGCCTCTTTGTATTTTTGGTTCCTTCTTGCTGTTTGGTTTTGGGGGAGTCGCAACCAGAGTGGTCTTGGTAGACTTCTTAGCTGGTTCTTGTATTTAGAAGAGCTTCCTTACTTAGTCTTTGGACTGTGTAGCTCAAGAGCCAGAGACTTGTGACTTGTTTTGGTTGCGTGAACGCTTTGCTGAGAGCCTCAATGCTGGGCTTTTGGCTCAAGAGCGGGGCCGAGAAAAGGACTGCTGCGCTGTCCGTGTGTGTCGCATCATGCAGTTGCAGTCAACTTCATTGCAAGTTTAACATCCAGGATGTTTCTTGTGATTTCTTTCGCAGTTGCATTTCGCTTTGCGCGCTGGTCAGGTCTTTTAGATGGATGTTGCATGGCGTTGTAACCCTAGTACAACTTTTGCTACCTGAGCTAGCGGGTGTGTTGTTCTTGAAAGCTTTGCTTTCGAGGATCTCGATGATGAGACATGAGAGTTATCGCAATAGGGATCTGACCCTAAGATCCCTGAGGGATCCTTTTTGACTTGCGTTGTTGCTTGTTAGCTTAGTTATCTGCATGCTCTTTGTTGGTCGAGATTGACTCTTTGTTGGGTCTGGAGCTTTGCTTGAGCTGGACTCGAGTTTACCTTGATTGATGACATTGAGATCACATTCAAGACAGGTGCATGGATCTTCGTTGTTGTCTGATCCAAAGTTGTCCAGAGAAGAACGAAGAGAGAAGAAGAGAAGAAGAAGAGAGACAGATGGCGGCGCCTAGTGACCCACGAAGTGGTGTGAAAGATTGTGCGTGTACAGGGTGTGAATCACCTAGTGCCTGTTCCTTGAGTAGATTTTCGTTTTTGATGACTTGGGGTTGGAGCTGACTTTGGTTTGCGGTCCTTTGTTGGCGCTTTGCTTTACCAACTTGGCAGGACAACCTTTTAGACCGTCGCCTGCAGAACGTCGTGCGAAGGAAACGGGCTTTGTAAGCGTGCGTTGTTCAAGCCACGGGATTGTAAGTGTTTTTTATATCCATGCCATCTTTCCCCAAACAGTTTACTGTTAGGGGTTCTCTTTTGTCTCTGGTCTTGTCCCCCTTGTTGTTGGTCACTGTGGTCTCCCTTCTGTTTCCTTTTGTGTCCCTTCTTGTTGGTGTCCGCCTTGTCTCCCTTCTTGTCTCCCTTCTGTTTCCTTTTTTCTCCCTTCTTGTTGGTCACTGTGTCCGTCTTGTCTCCCTTCTGTTTCCTTTTGTGTCCCTTCTTGTTGGTGTCCGCCTTGTCTCCCTTCTTGTCTCCCTTCTGTTTCCTTTTTTCTCCCTTCTTGTTGGTCATTGTGTCCGCCTTGTCTCCCTTCTGTTTCCCTTTGTCTCCGGTCTTGTCTTCCTTCTTGTTGGGCACTGTGTCCGTCTTGTCTCCCTTCTTGTCTCCCTTCTTGTTCCCCTTCTTGTTGGTCATTGTGTCCGCCTTGTCTTCCTTCTTTCCTTTGCATGTGCCTCCTCTCTCCCCCTCTCGCTTGCAACCCCCCTTCACATTTGTCTCCCACCTCCTCTGCCCTGCAATCCTTTACATTTGTCTCCCAGCTCTGGGCTGCGTGTCTCTTGCAATCCTTTACATTTGTCTCCCTCTCTCTACATTTGTCTCCCGGCTCTGGGCTGCGTGTCGCTTGCAATCCTTTACATTTGTCTTGTCGGCAATCCTTTACATTTGTCCCAGCGCTTTCCAACCCTTAATTTTACATGTGTCTCCCAGCTCTGACTGCTGTGTCCGCCTCTGCTTTGCAATCCTTTATTTTTCACCCAGCTGCTTGCAGTCCTTTCGTCGCAAGCTCTAGTTGCAGAGTGTTCCGATTTGGAAAAACACAAACTGTTTGGGGTCTACGGTGGTGTAATTTTGACATCTGATATTCCCCGACACTGGCTCGACATATATACTGAGCCAATGATTGACTCATGACACGGCCGAGTCCGCCCACCGGTATGGTCTCCATCTCATGGTAGCACTGCGTGTACATGGAGACTGTTTGAGATAGTTCTCTTTAGTTTTGTGTAGGTTTGAGATGACTGTGAACAGTCTTGACTCTTTTAAGAAGAGTTGACAAGCTCTGGAGAAACTTGGAGAACCTTTGAGGCACTCTGAACCGACTGTGACTTTGGCTCAAGGAGCGGGATCGAAAAAGGAAGCTGCCGCATCCGCGTTTTCACAAAGATAGACATCGACCAAACTCGTCGCCTTTGTTGGATTTGAATTCTCACGCTCATGAACCCCTCCATACATTTGACATGACAAAGGTTGTTTAGTTGTTCCCCCGCACTTTGGAAGCTTTGCAAGGAGATTCCTAAGGATGGGGTTGTGGCCCACAATGTTTTGGATGTTCCATGTAAAACTTCCCAGTATCTCGCGCTGAACTGTTTTGTGGGATGCGATATTTTCAGCACTTGATCGTCAGACCTTTGGTCCTGCCAGGGTTTTCTCACCAAGACTTCAGAGAAGGTCAGAGGGTCATGAATGGTGTTGATTGGATAGTCATCTTGAGTGCAAACTTTCAAAAGAACTGCCTGATGTTTTTGCTACTGTTTGGCCATTTGGCGGATATGGCTGTGGAGCTTCCGAAAGCTTTGGAAGGCGGGGGCCTGGAGGGCATGACTTGGACCCTTTGGCACCCTGTTGGGACCAGCCAAAAACACATTCATCACAGAGTCACGCTGAGTCAGTCTGCAGGGCTCAAGCCGAAGGGGCGAGTCAGGTCCTGGTAAGGTGCCCGAAACCCTTTCCGTTCCGCTCGTTTACCGAGAATGCAGCAAGCGGTGGTCACTGCCGTGGTTCTTTTGTGTCTCAGTTCGCTGAGCGCCGCAATGAAGCTACATGATTCCATCAACACGAGCATTGGCACCGGCTCCAACGTGTGCCGCAGCTCAAAGGACAGTCTGAAGATCCTGGCCAATGATTTGGAGGAATCTTTAGGTTACAATGCAATGTTTTACAAGGGATGCCTGCAATTTGTGAAGAACAACGCCCATCTCGATCTCCCCATCATGGCTCAAATCGAGGCGCATATATAGCTAAGCTCGAAAAGTAAGTGTTTGAATATAATTTGGACATATGGCACTGAGATTGACAAACGTGAACAAGTATGGAAAGGGTTCAATCTCTTGTGGATCTACCTGTTGTATCATATCCTGTTGTTGGATCTTCTTCTGTTTTCTTGCATGCGCTGGTCCAGGCCTTCGGCAAGAGGTGCAAGCAAGCGCTTTTCGTGGGTGATGAGTCGTCCATGGAGAAGGTTGACCCAAATCAACTAAAGGCGGAGTGTGACCGGGCCATCTATAACATGGAGGCTCAGTTCCGCATGCTTGGCCCAGAGTCTTTGAACACCCCAGAGGAGTTGCTGGGCAAGCAGACGGCAAGCAATCTATTTTAGATTACAAAATTGTTTGTTGAAATTTTTGAAGGGGAGCAGGAACCTTTTTCGTCGAAACTTGCAAAGCCTTTGTGTGAGGGGTCCCGCTCAAAAGTAGGTTTTGTGCGGTCTTCGTCGATATGGTGTTGCCCATCGAAGATGAGCCTGAGTGCATGCGTTTTTTGGAGGATGTGAGCTCGAAACACTTTGATTTCTTGGGCGCAGCGCACTCATGGCCTGGGATCATACACGAACCTCACCTTGAGGAGGCCTTCATGGAGGCCTGCTTGCAAGACAAGAAATTGGAGAGCGAAGAAGAGGGTGTGGTGCTCAACTATGGAGATGGTGCTAGGGACTGCCAGATGAAAATGGATCGCGTCTCTGCCATGCATTTGCGGAAACACTACAAGCATTTGGCAGAACTCTTCTCCGAGTTGTGCCCCTTGCTTGGCAAGGAATTGCCAGACCATGAAAAACCAATTCCTTTCCAGAAGACCCGGCGCACCTTGCATACAGCCCTCTTCCATCGTGCTGCCAAATTGCAGGCACGCAGCAACATCAGCACTTCAGGAACCAAAAAACGCAAGAAACCCTTCAGCGCTTTGCAGATTCATTTGGACAAGACGGTGTCTGGGAAGGGCGACGACGGTCGCCGACGTCGCAGCAGGCTCGGGAGTGAGTGCCGAGAGCGGAGAGTGAGCGAAGAAGCGAACAGCCGGAGAACGTGAGGGGTAGAAACAAGTGCCTTACTAGTAGTAACTAGAAGCTATTAGAAACAAGTGCCTTACTAGTAGTAACAAGAAGCGAACATGATTCCGCACCCCCCCAAAAAAGACAGCGCATGGCCCTCGCTTGTGCGCGCGCAAATCGCCTCGCTTGTGCACGCGGAAAATGCTTCGCTTGTACAGCTTGTGCACGCGCAGGTTGGAAGACTGACAAGCCTTCACTATAATGGCTGCACCTGAACACACTCCCAGTAGTCATATGTTTGCCATGAAGAGAGGAGCAAACATGCAGATCTTCCAGGTGTCAGGTCATCCAAGGCATGTCAGACACGAAGAGTTGAAAACATTTCTGCTCCGGTTGCCACACACATCTTTTGATGAACTGGTATGAACGGACTGCAAAGCATTATGTTGAAACTCCTGCCATAAAGACAGGTGCACATCTTCAAGCTGGCTTCAGGTTTTCGAGGCAAGACGTGTTAAGAGTGATTTGGAAGTTTCCCCGTCGTGCATCCTGTGAACAGCTGTTGTGAACAGACTTTCTTTCAGGAAGTGTTCTGCAGAAACTGCACTGTGCACTGTGCTTCAGGTAAGCTTTATGTGACTAAGATGTCCACCAGTGATGAGTGTGGGCCCACAGCCTTTTCCAAGCTAGCAACTAGCATACCTTTTGTGACCCATCCAAGGGCATGGGGCCATTCCGACGTCACATACCTTTTGTGAATCCAGAGGAGACGGAACCGTTCCTTTCTGAACTCCCTGCAAAGCGCCCAACATTAGATGCTTGCCCAAAGCAGCTCAGAACATCACAGCAAAGCTGCAAAGCCGGCTGCCAGAAGGTTCCCGCCACATGTTCGCTGCTTCCAGCATTTTCTCGGTGGCTTCCATTTGGTCACCCTCCTGCGTGGCAACAACCCAGTACTTGGGAAGAACCGCTAGCTCCCTCACCCAGTGCTCGTCCAGTGACTCTTCAAGCTCTGAAACAAACTTCTTCACATCGGACCCAATTTTTGACACCCTCCAGCTTGGTGAGCATCGAACACAGGGGACCTTAAACGAGAGCCAAGGCACAAACATGTAATGCGTAGTAGACCTCTTGTGTGCCACCCGAGAGTACCGTCTAGAGGAGGAAGGAACCATTCCAGGGTAATGCACCTTTTGTGAGCCACCGGAGCTGTTACATTTAGATGTAGAAGGTGCCATTCCAACGTAGTAGACCTTTTTGCAAGCCACCCGAGGTAGCAACATGCCTGTGTGCGCAAGTGAGTCGCTGCGTGCTCAAGTGGGTTAACTTTGGCGTGTGCAGGTGCGGTTTCCCTTCATAATTAAACAAACAGGCAGGGTTGACTGCCGACCTCGCGTGCAAGTGAGGTGATTTTGGCGTGCGCAAGTGAGTGGGTGCCAATGAACAGCAGGCAGATAGCGGTCGGAAGTTAGGGCTATATATGTTTTCTCACTTTTTGGTGTGAAGAACAGATGCCGAAAAGGCTCGTCCAACTCTGTCAAAACTACAGGAGTTGGCTAAAAACCCTTGACTCTAGGCGAGTTGAAGGCAGCAATTTTGTCGCTGACGTTGGTGTTGCACCAAGCACCTGGCCCTGAAGAACAGTCATGCCAGTCTTGTGGGTGTTGATTCTCAGGAGAAGGCGCCTCACCCACAAGCAAGCCACTTGCTGCAACGGAGAAGCTCGCATGTACGAGGTTGGTGTGGAAGCTTCTGCTGGCGTGGCGGTTGGCTATGGGCAGATTGTGGCAGAGGGCTTTGAACGCTGGAGAGGCAATGACTGCGAGTACAAGCTAGGCCACATGGGTGGCTGGGTCCTTGTTTGGAAGTGCTTGTCATCCAGTTTGTGGATTTCATTCCGGGCCAAGCTAGCACTTCCAAACGACGAAGACCTTTTAGATGTCTCAAGCTCCTTTGTGTATAAGCCGTTGCATTTCCAGACTTGCTGGGCAAGTGAACATATGCCAAGACATCAGAGCTGAACAAATGTATCACTCGAACTAGAAAGGCCAATTTTCAATATGCAGCCTCGGAATAGTTATTGCTGGAAAATGCCGAACGCGAAGAACCCATGACTCTCCCTGTCAGTGAGGCACCTTTTGAGACAGTCGGCTATAGATACATCACCGGGTACCCAGCCAACTAGCAAGGCGAGGAAAAAGTAGCATATGTTGAGTTTAGTTCATCCACAATTCTATACTCAGCTTTTGTTGGTTGCCTCAAGTTCATGATCTACTGTGTGCTTAATTCTTTCTTTTGATGGGTCAAAAGGACACCTTTGGGCGCTCTCCGGTGGAATGATGTGGAAAGCACCCAGTCGGCCGAGGTGAGGTTTGCGGGGGCTTGGAGCTTGGTGCTGGCATCGACGCCACGGTCAGTGCTGGGTGGTTCAAGAAATGGAGCGATATCCTAGGCAAGGCATGGTTCAAGGGTGGTGGCCTTTGCCTAGTTGGGTGTGCCGGAGTCTCTTTCATTGAAACCGAGGCCCTTGGTGGGCAAGTGATTGGTGAAGTGCTGACGGCAGGGGGTGGCATGGGGATTGAGGTTTCTGCTGGGTGGTGCAAATGCTGGAAGTGGGCTCGGGAAGAAAGTTCTTGGGAACGAAGACTCAAGAAAAAGTGTCCCGCATCAGATGGTGGATGCTTCCCATCCAATGCCTTGGTGCAAACCCCAGATGGTCAGAAGCAGATGCACGAGCTTCGAGTCGGTGAAAAGGTTTTGGCCTTGGATTCGGCCGGTGCCTTGATTTTCGATGACATCTATTTCTTTGGCCATGCACAGCCAAACACTCTGGCAGCTTTTGTGAGATTGGACATCGGGGAAGTTAGTTTGGAGCTGACCGGAAAGCATTTCATCCAAGTCTGCACAAAAGTTCCCTGCCATTGGGACGACCGACAGACCATCTATGCGGAAGAGGTGCAAGTTGGTCAACAAGTTTGGCTGATAGAAGACACCAAAGCTGAAGTCTGCTTTGTGAAATCCATCCAGATTGTGCCCAGGCTCGGCCTCTACAATCCGTACACCTTGTCAGGGAATATCGTGGTCAATGGTGTTGTGGCCAGTGCGCACAGCAGTTGGCTCTTGGATGCTTGGGCACCTTCTTGGTTGCAAAAGCATTTGGCTGCGATCTATCAGGCAATTTTCTTCTTTGGGAGGCAGGGGGTAGGGATGCTGAGAACGATTGACTTGTTTCCAAACCACGAATTTATGGGAGTGTGAGGACTAGACCCTGCGATCTGGGAGGTGCCTCTATTTCGTAGCTGGAGAACAAGCAGCTGATTTCCTTGGAGTCGACAATCCACAAGTACAAGAGCCTGGCATCATGACGTTGGTGACCGTGGCCTGTCCTGCACTTGTCGCTCTTCTTGGGACTCTTGTCACGGTGAAGCGCTTGGCTTCCAAGACAGCGTGATGTTGCCAGGCAAAGGGTTGCGAGGAACAGCTCGCCAGCCAGCAACAAAGGAGCCTGCGGATCCTCAATTTATACACCCAGCTGGGCCGTGAGCTAGGGCCATGCCGCATACGGCACAGCTGAACATCACAGGTACTTTCAATGCCCGACGCTCGTCGTTGGCAGCCAAACGGTGGTTTTCTTTTTCAGGGTAATTCGTGTGACTGGTTGGGTTTGACAATAAAGAGCATCAATGTACACCATTCGTACCTCCACATATACAATTGGAGATAGAGGCAACATGTATTTTTACATACGACACTACATACATACATGCACACAGGGGTGAGCACGTGATCAAGGCAGCCATTGCGTCAAAAACTTTAGTTTTTGCAGAGAAATGCTCGGTCTCTTCAGGGTTGATGTGAGTTTTTGGGAGAGTATCCCACTCCAGTTCTTCGAGAATTTGTCAGAGGCAATGCGAAAGTCAACGAAACATACAGAGAGAGGCCTACCTGAGAGGATGTAGGGAGTAGCATGATATTTGGGTCCGCAGGCCCTCATCCAGCTGAAGCTATCTCACACGGACCGTTCCAGCTTGTCTCCTCCCCACGCCAGCGCGAGGTCCGACTCCTTAGGCCAAACACATTTGCGCGAGGAACATGTGCATCGATTATCGATCAGTTTTGGGGGTGCCGACCCAAAGCCAAGTGGGAGGAATGAGAGCTTTTGTTGAGTGAAAACTCGAGAACATATTGATTCATTGATGTTCCTTTGTTTAATTAATCATACTTCTTGATAGCTTGGGGTCAGACCACGAAGAGCTCAAAGTCGAAACATGATACGCTTCCTTCGCGAGTCTGTTGAGCCTTGTGCATCAGTTTGCACCGGTATAGCCACATATAGCGTACAAACAGCCAGTGATTTCAGCATGATGAATCAATGGTGAATGTAAAGTAAAACGGCAAAAACAAGCCGACAGCCTCGACGACACGTTGATTGGCTCAAATTCAAGTCTTTGCTCACAATCAGCGAATACATGTGAAACAGCTTGCTTAGTGGATTTGGAATCTTGGACGCCATGGTGGAGTTCAAACCCTTCACAGCTTACATCGTTGATGCTTGCAGGAGTGTTTCCGTTTTCTGGGGTGAATGTGTCATGTGCTTGGAGTTGCCAGATGGCCAACTCCAAGGATTATGTAGGCTCTGTGCAGCCAAAAGAGTCTATGGCACATTAGGGGCTGCCATGATCTGCAGCAGTGGAAACCTTGGGTCACTATTTTCTAGTGGAGGCCCTCATGTAGCACCATCGTCCACTGTTGGAGTGTGGTGGGCAGGGTCCAAATAGCAACTTCATAGAATGGCTGGCCAAAGCTTTCCGCAACACACAGGACAGCTGGTGGCAAAAAGAATGGCAAGCTTTCAGGCCAGGTTGCGCAACAGTTCTTTGAGTCGTTTGTAGGGTTTTGGTGCAGCAGGGTTTGTCGAAAATCAAGTGGACACACAGAGTTTGGGCAGAAAGCTTAGCATTTTCACTCTCTTTGTTTTTGCAAACCAACGCGGTTTGGCAAGTTTGGGGTACTCAGTGTTGCTTGACTTGGAACACCCAAACCCGAAATTGGACAGATGGGGTCAACATCTCAATGACTGGCTCATCCAGTTTGCGCAAGACGATCTATTTGACCACGATTTCATGGATTCACCGATTTCATGGATTCACATGGGTGCATGTTTGCCTAGAGGGTCTCAAGCCTTCAGGGACCGATGTGGTACTTGCTTGACATGTGACGTTCGTCATACGGCTTTGCTGGGGTTACGGGCTCCGTTTTTGGACCAGAACGCATTTTTCGGAGAGGGCATATAGCATCACTGCATAGCTCAGTGATGAAGCTCCAGGCTACCATCCCGGTGAGCTGGGTGCTGCCGTTTGCGATGCTTTGCTGGAGCGCCAGAAGCTGCCGGGTGCGGAGGTGTGGCGAGACTCCGAGAGATGGGCATGGCATTGCCGCTGTGTTCAGCCCATCGTTTCGACATGAACCCATTCGTCGTGGGAAAAGAAACCAAGCCTTAGTTTCCGTAAAATCTAGGAACCAAGTCATTAGTGCGAGTGCTTCTTCAAGGAAGCTTCCCCCGCCGCCTTTAGGGCAGCTGAGGGACCTTCCTTGAAGAAGCGCGAGCTATTCTGCGTCCTGTCCGTAGTAGCTACTTAAGCTACTAGCTACCTGCTACCAGTAGCTACCTACCTCTACTAGCGGCCTACCCCCCCCGCCGGGCTTTAAAACAAACAGGGTTTGGTCTGCCGCCCCGCTGGAGGGGGCGGAGGTCGTAGACATCCACACCGTAGATTTCTCAGAGCGAGCCGAACTGGGAACTCCCCCACGGCCAGGTGGAGGATGTGATCTTCGGATGCGTGGGGCAAGTGGGTGCACAAGTGTCTTGGCTCTTTGTGACCGGAGTTGGATTCAAAGTTTGGAAGCATATCTTTGTCACCCGTCAAGGTGGGGGGATCAGACCCAGATGAAACTTGGAAACACTGAGGCTGCGAACGTCGGCCGCACCGTGGTTCTCTCCTCGCGGCTGTTGCCCGAAAGCGTCAGGGGAACCGAGGAAGTCGTGTCGACAGTTTTCTCTGAAATTTTTTGATGAGGAAGTTCGTGCTACTAGCAGCAAAGGGCATCGCCACTAGGAGCAAGGAAGCTACTAGTAGCTCCTGGCATTACTACTAGGAACAAGAAGCTAGTAGTTAAGATTCCCATAAAATTTGTGCTGGTATGAGTATCTCCACATGGACAAAAGATACATGTCACAGTGGATCTAGTCCGTACCAAGTCAGCACATGAATGCATCTTTCTACCAAAAGGATCCAAAAGGTCTTTAGGTTTTGGTTTAAAGTTACTGTAAGACTAAGACTAAGACGGTTAAGTGGCGTGATTCGGATACATTGTCTCTCTCAGCTTGTGAGCTTGTTTCGATGGAGAGACATTGACCATGCGCCAACCTTAGGTCCTCTGCTGAATTCACTTTGACAATTTTCAAAGTCTTGCCATCAGCATATCCCACCCTGCCGGGCAGGCTAGCTACTGTAATATAGCACAAGCAACCCGTGTACTTCGCACTGCTTGGGGCACACATTAGTGAGCTCCCAGATGAACCAGATGACCCGTGAGTGGATACCAAAGTGTATATTGAAAAAGCCATTGACTTGACAGACAGACGTCTTCTCCCTTCCAACGTCAAAACGGTGCGCAAGAAGATCGCCGTGGACCGGTGACCGGCCCAGGTGCCTGGCACCTCAGTGGACCGGCAATGTGGCTCCTCGCAGCAGGCAGACGGTTGGGGTGAACGCAGTGAGAAGCACCGAAAAGCATCCAAAAGCATGAGAAGGACTGCGTGCATCTGCTCCGGAGCAGTTGGAGTTCAGCTGATGGATGATGTTTTCCACATGAGAGGGGAAACCTTTGCTTGACAAATGAAAAAAGGCCAGACATGGTGCTTAGCATGCAGGATAGGGAAGTACTCCTGACGCTGTCACCTAGTTTTGGTCAAATAGATGACGTCAAATGAGAACAGACTTACTGTATATACCACATCGACCCTCGCAGCGTGCAACTTTCTCGGTAGCACAGATACACAGCAGTGGCTAGAGGTGACATTTCAAGAGTTCGATTGGCATAGCGCCACAAGGAAACAACTGGGCCCGCCCCATAAAACCTGGAGTTCGGATCTCCTCCCTTCGCAAATGGCTTCAATGCGCTTACGCTCGGCTGAGCTTGGCCTTTCTAGAGGTTTTCGCCTGAGCTCTTGCCTTTGGACGAAGGCGGAATTTTTCAAGACCTGAGGCGTATTTCATGATCGCTGCCTGTTGTCCGGTGGACGGACCTTACAAAACACGCCTTGAGTCTGCTCTACATCAGAAGCTTTGTCCATACTTCGATCGTTTTCAACTGCTTCTTCTCAGTGTCGCTTCTAAAGCAATCGAGGACTTCCATAGCTTTCTGGATTTCCACTTCGGGGACATTTCTTTCACGGTTCCTGGAAAGAGACGCCTTTTATGACTCAACCTATTCTTAGACAGCTGGCCTCACTCCGGCCATTGGCATGTCATTTGCGGAGATTACTTCTTCGATTTTGCTTCCGCTGGGGTTGCGATTGCTCAAAGGCCTCGCGTGACGCGCAGTATGTTGGAAAATTTGATGCACCTGCAACCAAATCTGTGCGAGGCACGGTGCATAAGCAACGGCGATTTGAGCTGGGTTTCTTGAGATTCTCTTAAGTGATGGGTTGAGAACTGGAGGCAGGCTGAAACAAGACCGAAAGGCGGGGTTGACATTTTTTGCTTATATATAGATGGTGGTTCCTTTCATTGCTTCTATGAAAGGCTTGCAACGCGAGTGCTGTGCGACAAGCTTTGACCCTGAGTTGTGGAATGCAGCTTAGGGGACTGGAAGGGGGCTTAACGCTCAAAGGTGGGGCGCCATCAAATCCTGTTTGCACTTGAGAAGCCAGGCCATTCATGCTGCAGCTCAAGCAGTGATGAGTGGAGTGCACGATTGCTGCACCCTGGCAAATGTATATTTTTTCCAAACATGTTTTCCGTTCAGTTATATTTTTCTTCGCAATCTCTGAGATTGGTGCATGTGACTGGCACTTGTGCAAGGCATTGCGGGTGGTGTGGAGGTCATGCCTGGGGCTCAGCTCGAGTCCGCGAGGTTGCGAAGCAAGGCTTCATCACCGGTTGCAGGGGGGGTGCAAGCCATTTGGATTAGACAACTCTAGTCGTAGGGAACCTTTATTTGTCACATAGGGTTATGTAGGTGGACATGGGCTTGAAGGCAGATGATGTCAAGAACAAGGCCATTAGTTGATTCAGTGGCTAGGCACAGGTGAAAAAACAAACCACAAGCCATGTACTGGGATCGCAGGCAAAGGCAAGAACGATTATGTATGGTTTTCTTTGCAGGAATACACGCACACAATCACACACTCGGGAAATGCGTACTGAATTGAAAGCCACTTGCCACACGGCAACCTAGCTGAAAAATGTCCTTGAGTAAAGCATGAAGGGGGTTTGAGCATCTTGCAAGGTCCAGGTTCGAGGTCCAAGAAGCCAAGGTGGAGCCACAGCGTGCCCAACAGCTCAAAAAAGGAACAGGTACGTGGAGTTGATCAGACGCCATATCCTATCAGTCGTGGCATAGCCCTCTTCGTTGGGCAGCCAGCTATGCTCACGAGGTTGCCCCCCCTGCTGAAAAGGACCGAAAGGCCCCCTATGACTTCAAGGGCTTCACACGCACGCATCCCGTAAAGGGAGGCAACAGTGAAAGCTAAGGTTCAGACTGACGTGCGCCCGCAAAGCGGACAAAGAAATGAGGACGTGAAAGCCGGACAAGACAGACCAAGTGTATGTGGCTGCAAAGAAGAGAAACCAAGTGAACAGGGACCTCTGGAGAACCAGACCTCCTTATGACAGCCTGGGCGACCTAAGACCTCGTTTGGATGTAAGCGTGCGCAAAAGAGGAAAATAGGGGATGAGATGACAAGACATGAAGGCAGGAAAGACATGAAAAGAACGAGGAAAAAGAAAGAAAAGTGTGTGAGGGGAAAAAAGATGAAAGGGGGAAACAAGATGAAGGGGCCGGAGAAACGAAGCCAAACCTGATTAGAGCGAGCCTAAGGGGAAGTGGCCTAGTTTATGTGCATGCTGTGTGTGCACCTTAGGTTGGAACAGGTCCCAACAGATCTTGAGAGCTCTGCGACCGCTGCGGTCTACTCTTGGCATTCAGCCTGCTTTGGTCGCTACGGACGACTCCTGCTCAAGCTCCGTCAAAGCCGTCAAATCTCAACTGACCTATGCCACAAAGCTCCAGCTCTCGCTGCGAGCTGCTCTGGTCCCGGGCGCAGGGACATAGACCAACTCCCGTTCGACGAGGCCACGGGGGGCACTTTTCGGGCTCACTCCGGGCTGGCATGAAGCCAGACACACTCGGGAAATGCGTACAGAATTGAAAAATGGCAACCTAGCTGAAAAATGTCCTTGAGTAAAGCATGTATGGGGGTTTGAGCATCTTGCAAGGTCCAGGTTCGAGGTCCAAGAAGCCAAGGTGGAGCCACAGCGTGCCCAACAGCTCAAAAAAAGAACACGTACGTGGAGTTGATCAGACGCCATATCTTATCAGTCGTGGCATAGCCCTCTTCGTTGGGCAGCCAGCTATGCTCACGAGGTTGCCCCCTGCTGAAAAAGACCGAAAGGTCCCCTATGAACCCAAGTTTTTACACATACACACACACGAAATCAGTTTTTGGACGCCGGAGCATGTGGGTGTCACACTATGTGTAGCCCATACCACGCTATGTGATCCTAAAGATCGTCCGGAGCCTAATTGCTTTGCTTTTGGACGCCTCTTTTTCGGTCTGCAACTGCCGTCCGTCTGTTCTTGAAGTCATTCGGCACACATCTCAGCTTCAGGTCTTTGGTGCCTATTGGTGCCAACATCATTGATGGCATGAAGGCCAGAAGAGAAGACCTGTTTCTCACTGGTGCTCAGGAAATCATCAGTTTCTTGCTGGACAATCAACCAGTGAGGCACCAGCACTGCGGCGCTTTTGCCAGGCTGGCCACGGGTTTCCCATGACCGAAACCATGAACCAGAAGTATGAGCAGAAACTGAAGGCGGGAGCGATCCACGTGGCTTTGGGTCAAAAGGTCAACACACCCAGAGATAGGATCAGTATGGATCAGTTGTGTAATTAAGTTGAACTTTCGCTCAGCGTGAACAAATAAGGCTATGATGCCAGTTGCCGGATGTGATCACAGATGTGAGGTTGTACATTTGTGGGGCAGTTGTCAAACAGTTTGTTGCGAGACACCCAGATGCTGACATCCCGAGATGATTTGGGGTCCCATCAACAGATATTACGATTTTTGTAAGGCAGAAAAGCCTGGACTCCACAAAGCAATCACTTCAGACAGTGGCATCGGTGTAGACTTTTCGCGTGTGGGGTTGCTGTTGGTTATTTTACCTAATGGACCACTCATTTAACTGTACTGTCAAATCCATCTGCGAGGCCTTTGAGCAGTTCGGCATCTCCACCTCAGCCGCCCGGCAGGGATTCAGTTTGGACACTGCGGGAGACGTGTTCTGATCAACATGGGTAGGGATCTTCGGACGGAGGAGGTAAAAAACGTCGATGAAGTCTCCATCAGTTCGCATGGTCAGCTTTTCTCTTGTGTCAAACTTATGTTCAGTTTTGGCTTTGTGGCTTCGTTTTAGTTTGCTGTGGCGAGGGGTCAGGGGGTTCATGGTGGAAGAGCGTCGGCTATGCCTGGGGTTGGGGGACTGTGCGAATCGCACGAGACGAAGGCCTTCTCCCAGTTTGGTGGCGCAGAGCTGTTGGCGCAGAAGTACCAGCTGACCCGTCAGGTCGGGACGGCGCGGTTGTGGTTTGACAATTGACATGCTGGACGAACAATGTTCAGAAGAGGCAGAGTGGCAGATTTTTGTGTATTTTGTTGAAGAAGCAAACCAACTAAAATCCACCCTGTAGTCTTTTCGGCATGAACGAATGGACATCCGGCCAATGTGGATGTTCTCGACCAAGATCAAAAGGCTTTGGCACTTGCTGACATGCCGATCATTTGTTGGATCTGAAGAACACTATGAGCAATTCCAAAGACCAACCGAAGCCAGAACTCTGGCAGAATTTCCTTGGAAATTTTAAACACATCTATATTATATAATTCTATATACTGTATATAGTTATATAATTATAAGCTTACCTGAACCTAAAGGGCAACCCCAAAAAGGTTGCCCCCTTCATGAATGTTGGGTGCTCCATCCAAACCTCAACCGGAGGACATCCGCCACCAGCTTTTGCAGCGGCGGATTTTGGATTCGTTTTGGGTGGTCGATCACCAAGGACGTGGACCGCTTCGCGGTGAGCTCGCAGCTGAGGGCAGCAGCCTCCACAAAGGCGACGGGCGAGTGGAAAGAGATGCTCCTAGTAGCGATGCTTTTTGCTCCTAGTAGCGTCCTTACTCCTAGTTAGTAGTAAGGCCAGGAGCCCCTAGGAGCGTCTTTGCTCCTAGTAGCGATGCTTTTTGCTAGAATCCGAAGCTTTGCCATGGCAGATTGTTCTGTGCATTCTGAGGGTTCGCATGGGGCATTGACCGGACATGACGCACAGGATACAGGTCATCCAAAATCTCAGCCTCAGCCATTTGTTCCATTTATATACACCAAGATTATACACCAATGCTTACAACGCGGTTTGCTCCATATTGAGAAACACCAACCATATGGGGATGGGTTAAAGCTAAAAGTCAGCTGGACTCTTGAGGTTTGAAGATCAACATCACAAGAGCAAGCTATGTATATATATATATACACACTACAAGCTAGTTGGGTGTGTTTGGGTCAAAGGGTGGGGCTGCTTGATAACTGGCAACCAAAGAATACCTTGTGACCC